ATTGCGTTGGTACTGCTAGGCAGTAAATACCTGCTATAATTAATGACACGTACAGTACAAGCACGCATAGTTCGTATTGAACGAGATTTTAACTAGCTTTGGATAAATGCCAGCGCGTAGTGCAACAATGACTAGAAATAGCAGCTATACTCTCGCCAAAAATAAACTTTGGAAACCAATGCTCTTCAATAGTACATAGACAAAGTGCGCAATTACGTGTAAAATAATAGCTTTAATTTTATTGGTTCTCACAAGACTAATGTTAGAAATTACTATTTAGAGCTCGACACAAATATTATTGCTGTATAGGATTTATTCGTAACGCGTAGGTTGTATTGAAATTTGTTACTCGCAATAGGCAGGATCAAAGGTAACACTTATGAAGAGTTTATAAAGACCAAACTGATAAAGCCTGGTATACGTCGGGAAACATATTCACAAATAAACGACACCGCTTAATATCGCCCACCGATATTTAGAAGTACACGCCCTGTACACATCGAGCAAAATCTGCTAATAACATACCTTTGAGAAATTTGCCTAAAGTTATTAACTGAATATTGCCTAGGTAATATTGTAAGCAAAGTTCGCAGGGTATGCAGTCATACCTTGCACACTTTGAATATAACATACAATTAAATGCAAATAACTACATTAAACTGAACCAACTTCGAACTGCAACTCTAAAATTCTACCGACAGGACAGTGATCATATTTTGTCTTCGTATTTTTAATTAAAACTTACGCCACAAAATACATCAGTGAATTGTCCAGCACAGATATGATACAGAATCTAACGAAATTTTTATCGAGCGGCCTATCTACTTAGTAAATAGGTAGTACCAATTATTGACCAACTTCGTATATTAGTAGGGTCGACAAAGGACGGATTGTCTGACGTTGTAATTTGTCTGCAACGCACGCCCATTCATTGTATAAAGTGTCCATATTCCATATAGATCACCACTTTGTGTAGTGTAAGTGAAAGAGTCTAGTAAAAGATTGCATTAAGTAAAGAAAAATACAATTGGCGGTTTATAAATTCGTACATCATAAGACATCAAAACAACTCAAACAAAATACCGAGCGAATGCAAGCAAAAAATTCGACAAAACCAATTTTACTACTGCTAGACTAGTTTACTTTAGTTACTTCCATAGTATAATGTCCTACGGGATTCTCATGTGGGGTAAAGCGGCAGATATTCAAACCATATTTCTATTGCAAAAACGAGCAATTCGTTCTGTGTACCGTCTAGGCTCTCGGGTTACTCTCAGAGAAAAGTTTAAGGAGACTGGTATCATGACCGTGGCATCAAAGTACATTTACTCAAATATTTTATATGCCCGTAAAAATATACATAATTTCAATAAGAAAGAAGATATCCATAATATTAACCTTAGAGCTAAATCCAAACTCACGGTACTACGATTTCGTTTAACCAAGGTAAACAACTCTTTTATGGGGAACTGTATACGTTTTTACAATAGTGTTCAGGACGAAAACGTGTTCGCGCCCGTATGATTTAATGTTGTAATTTAATGTTGTAATTTATTATTGTAATTTATTATTGTTAATTTCGTGTAAGATTTTGGTTAATAAACGAGAGGGAGAGAGGGGTTTTGCTTGGAGTCTGTAGGGTTCTCCCGTCCCGCTCCTGCATTGGTGCCGTCCCGCTCGCACACTTGAATAGAATGCGAGCGGCACGGCGGGCCAGCGATGATATAAAAGGCGGAGCGTTGGGAGCGGAACGACATTCCAAAACTGACTGCGAAAGAATCCGAAGACGTTCCAAATCTCACCGCGATCCAAGCAAGACCAAGATCAAGAAGCTCAATTTACAACCAGGCGTTTTTCTCATAATCCGCCCCCACATTTTCTGGTCCTTCAGCAGCCGGATTACATCAAGAAAGAACAATGCCAGTTACCAGAAGCGCAAAATCGTACCCCGTGAATACCCAAGAATCCTCGTCCACTGCTCCAACCTGTTCGACGGGCACCGACACGATCACGGGGACCGAAAAGACTGCTACGACTTCAGAACACACGCGCTCCACGTACGCCACACGTACAACCGGTGCAACTGTGGAAACCGACGCAACGATCAGACAAATCGACGCCGCGCCGACTGCCACCTCGCCAGTCTCCCAACTAGTAGAGAGACCCGAAGCCGGCGCCACTACAAGTGAAGCACCACGGAGAATATACTCTCCTAAATCTGTTCGATCTTTTCGATCCGGTTCTTCGAACAGTCGTCGTAGGCAGCTAGCGGAAGCGCAACAAGAATTATTGAAGCTGAAAATCGATTTAATATCTGTAAAGATCGCGGCAATGCAAGAGGAATCGGACGAAGACGAACCGGAGGAAGCCACGATCCGCGAAGAACGCACATCGGAGTGGATTCGCACAAGCACTATTGGGTTGAAAAGAGAAGAGCAGGAAGACTACACTGCCGCCACACGTACGAAGGAAGATATATTGAAGGGAAGACCTGCCGAATCACAGGCGCCGCCGCCGACGCGCGACGTCATTCGACAGGAAAAAATCTCCACGTACGCGGCACCTGCGACAGCTGGGACCGGGTGCCCCCCCACCAACTACGCGGGGGGAGCGCCCCCCTCTACATACGTCACGCACACAAGTGAGAGACAACAGCCGCAATACTATCGTAACAACGACGGCCACCTGGAACATAAGCCGCCGAGCGACATATGTTATGAAAAGTTAGCAACGGCGATCACTACTGCGGCACGAGCGATTCAACCCACTACTGCAAGACTTCAAGAATTACCCATATTCAACGATTCATCAAGCGACTGGCTGCCGTTCAAGACAGCCTATGAAGAATCTGCAGGACTGCTTACAGAACAAGAGAACCTGGCGAGGCTCCGGAGGAGCTTGAAAGGCACCGCTAGGGAAGCAGCTCAATGTTTATTCGTCGGAGCCATGTCCTCCAACGAAGTAATGAGCTTACTGACGTCAAGGTTCGGTCGTTCGGACGCGCTCGCACTGGCCGAACTGAGTAAGCTACGCACCCTTCCACGTCTGGGCGAACATCCGAGAGACATCTGTAACTTCGCATCGAAGATCATCAACGTCACGGCCACATTGAAGGCGCTAAACAGACCGCATTATCTACACAACGCCGAGATAGTGCGCGCCGTGGTTGAGAAGCTGCCTTCAGCATTGCGCTATCGATACTATGACTTGTAGCCTGACTGAGGCGGCGCTAGCAAGAAGGATCGGCGCAGCGGGTACACCAGCACCCTTTTACATTGAGGGTGTAGCCGGCACACGAATCAACGTCTGCGAATCGCAACAAGTACGCATTTCTCTGCGCGGGCGCGACACGAATGAGCATACAATAACGGCCCGCACCATGAACAACTTGAAGCTATCGCCGCAAGCAGTCCCACGTAACGTCATACGAGCTTGCCCCCACCTGCACGACTTAGAAGAGCATCTCATCTACGAAGAGGGATCACCTACGATACTGCTGGGTCAAGACAACTGGCATCTTTTACTCACACATGCCGTGCGACAAGGAGACCGACACCAACCGATCGCAACACTCACCGATCTAGGTTGGGTTCTACACGGCACTAAGAGATCGAATGAAAGAGTCAACACCCACAAAGTACTCCACGCTGTCGCCCCTGATGATGAAGAGTCCATGGAGCAGATGATGAGGGAACACTTCAGCCTCGAGTCATTGGCTGTCATACCGAGACGCAGCCACAACGACGACGAGCGACGAGCACTGCAACAACTAGAAGATAAAACCCGCCGTTTACCGGCGGGAGGCTTTGAAACCGGTCTTCTATGGCGTAACGAGCACGTTCGTCCACCTGACAGCTACGACGTGGCGTTAAGAAGATTGGAACTAGTTGAAAAGAAACTCGACCGCGACGAGGAACTGAAAAAGAGATGGATACCCACCAAAATGAACGTCGCAGACGACGCCACCCGCGACGTGCCACACGACTTCGACTCTAATCATCGATGGTACAGGGGGCCGGACTTTCTATATATGTCGGAAGAAAATTGGCCTCAAGAGGAAGTCACGGACGTCAACGTCACGGATGAAGAACGGGTCCACCTCACCACAGGCGTCGGCGCGCGACTGAAGGAAGCTCTACCCGCGCGCTGTGGTCCGCGCGCGTACTACAGTTCATAGACAGGCTGCGGACGCGCGCACAACGATGCGCCGCTTTAAGGAAGAGAACGAGGAAAAATGCCGACGCCGACCCTACTTGGCGAAAAAATGATACAGAAAGCAAGAAGACGAATACTTCCGAAGCTGCGCGTGGAAAGCAAGTTTTACACAAATTTAAAACGATCGACGCCTCATATCTACGCCACGCCGAGTCGCTGTGGATACGAGCACAACAGGAAGAGGCGTTCACCGAGGAAATCAACGCCCTCATGAGGGGGACCCCCTTTCCCCCCTCTAGCCGCCTTATGAAATTATCAACGCTACTCGACGGCGAAGGCATAATACGACTACGATCGCGTATAGCGGCCGCGGGTGATATCACTGAGCAACAACGGTCACCAGCCGTGCTTGATGGAGACCACCCGTGGGTGCGACTGTATATCGCCTGGATACACAAACAGACGCACCACGGAGGCTTCGGCATCACCACCAGCGAGGTACGACAGCACTACTGGCTCCTACGACTACGCAACGCTGTGCGAAGCGAACTGAAACGTTGCCGAGTGTGCCGCATCATGAGAGCCACGCCTCCACAACCCTCTACTGGAAACCATCCGCCCAGCCGCCTCCCTCACCATCAACGCCCGTTCACATACACCGGGCTGGATTTCTTCGGTCCACTCCAAGTCGCAGTAGGCCGCACACGATAAAAAAGATACGGAGCGATCTTCACCTGCCTAACCACGAGAGCGGTCCACGTCGAGTTGGCCGGAGATCTGAGCACCGACTCCGCCATCATGGCACTCCGTCGCTTCATATCGCGACGCGGATGCCCGACGGAGCTGTGATCTGACCAGGGAACCAATCTCCGCGGCGCGGACGCCGAGCTACAGAGGGCAGCACTAGAAGCTATACAGGAAGACGCCAGTATCCGGTTCATCAAGTGGAGATACATACCGCCGAGCGCACCGTTCATGGGAGGAGCATGGGAGCGTCTGGTACGGAGCATCAAAACAGCTCTGTACACCGTACTGCACGAACGCGCCCCGAAAGAAGAGGTCCTGCACACTCTATTGGTCGAGGCAGAGCACACCCTCAACAGCCGCCCTCTCACCCATGTATCCACTGCTCCAGAAGACGAGAACCCCCTGACTCCGAACCACTTCCTACTGGGGGGTCCCTCACGAGTACCACTGCCTGGAGCCTTCACGGACACTGACATCGATGGGCGCAAAATCTGGCGGACCAGCCAACGACTGGCCGACATGTTCTGGTCACGCTGGATAAAAGAATACCTCCCTGATCTCCAGCACAGACGAACTCCGAGAGCCACCAACGGCGCGCTACAACTGGGAGACTTGGTGTTCATAGCCGACGGGACGCTACCACGCAACACCTGGCCCCGCGGCATCATTGTGGCTACATACCCAGGCCCCGACGGAGAAATAAGGGCGGTCGACGTGCGGACAAACAGAGGAATTCTGCGCCGTCCTACAAAGAAGCTGGTAATCATTGCAACGGGAGGCAACGAGACAACGAAGCACGAACCCTAGGACGTTCCAGCTACAAGCTGCGGCGGGAGAATATGTTCAGGACGAAAACGTGTTCGCGCCCATATGATTTATAATATTGTGATTTAATGTTGTAATTTATTATTGTAATTTATTATTGTTAATTTCGTGTAAGATTTTGGTTAATAAACGAGAGGGAGAGAGGGGTTTTGCTTGGAGTCTGTAGGGTTCTCCCGTCCCGCTCCTGCATTGGTGCCGTCCCGCTCGCACACTTGAATAGAATGCGAGCGGCACGGCGGGCCAGCGATGATATAAAAGGCGGAGCGTTGGGAGCGGAACGACATTCCAAAACTGACTGCGAAAGAATCCGAAGACGTTCCAAATCTCACCGCGATCCAAGCAAGACCAAGATCAAGAAGCTCAATTTACAACCAGGCGTTTTTCTCATAATCCGCCCCCACAAATAGGAATCCGGAGCATATATTAAGTTTATCATTTCCTAAGTTTAAAAACTACATAAAAAATAGTTTTGATCGAAAAATCATATTACAAAATTGAAGACCACGTGTTAGATAAAGATGTATGGAAAGATGACATGGCTCCAGAATCCACACAAATTTGATTCAAAGCATTTAAGTTTATTTGAAAAGAGCAATCCCTAGAGTTTCTTGCTCGTTCTTCTCAGGAAGGTCAGCGTAGTGAACGAGCAGTAGCTTAAATGTGACGTTTTCAAATGTAAATTTATTTTACCTATGAAATAAATAATCTTTGACTTTGACTTTGACCAAATCTGTAATAAATGTATAGAAAAATTCGTAAGGTCTGCTGACTCGATCTGTAGCCTGTAGCTCAGTTTTTAGAGCGGTCGCTCTGGTATCGCACAGATGCAGGTTCGAATCCTGTCAAAAGGGATAATCAGCGTGAAGGCGATGTTTAGGAAGGTTGCCCATTATAGGTTGGTGTGGATTTCCTGTAAATGGGCAACATTTGACACACGCATGGACAATTTTTGTAGCTAGATTTCTACCATTTAATATCCAAAATTTGTGACGTACGGTAGAAAATAACATTTGTGGACCTATAAGCCTCAATAATATGTGATAGTGCCTAAATATTAAAGTAGCCAAATGGTGACGGGAGTCAAGAAGTATAGGATGCTTAGTGTCATAATCGTAAAAAGAATTACTGAGTCTACCACCAACTCTAAGTAAAGCGTCATGAGTATTATAAAATGGATTGAGATTTATCAATTTATTTTGACTCGACAATTGCTTATTATTTTTAAGCAAATTGTACTTCTCTTTAAATGAATCAAGTTGAGCAAATTTACAAAGTCAGTTTATTGAAGAATTTAACTCGGATAGCGTTAAGCGCCCTGTACGTTTAACGTGGGAATTAAAATAGGTATGAATGGATCTATGCACATAGGCCATCACACGCTGCAATTTACCTAAACTAGAAAATCGTTTTATGAAATTTGATAGATATGTAACCTAAACAGTGTTATCAGTATTTAAATGACATTGAACTTTGAGCTCTGGTAAGTCAATGTCTTTTATGTGAGACGGCTGCTTCGGCAAACACGACTCATTTTGCATGAGAAAAGGTGGTCCGGACCACCACAAGTCACAGGTTTCTAACTGGTAAGCGTCTGCATCACGTGACCCGATGTCAGCGGGGTTGAGTTTCGTAGGTACGTACCGCCATGTGGCAGGCTCGGACTTTTCAGCGATTTCACTAATTCTGTTAAAAACAAAAGGCTTAAGTAAGTGTGCCTTAGGTGATTGTAACCAACCAAGGATAATGGTCGCTCCCACAAACGCGACGATGACTCCAAGAAACGGGAACGGCGTCGTCCCAAGTTAATTTTGATGCCCATAATTTTTGCAATATTATTTTATTTATATTATATGGTATTGGACCTGAAATTAACCAAACCCAACTTAGTTTTGCTTAATGTTGGCTTATTTTTACCCAACGACATATTTTGAGAGCCGAGAACTGTCCAAAATATATCGGCACCAAGAAGCATATGCCACTTGAGCGGGTGTGTGGAACGTAGGATCAGCTAGTGTAATGTGTTGTGGTATGTTAAGTGACTCATAGTCAACCTTTGTATTTGGTAATAATTATGTAATGCGAGGAACGACATAACAAGTTACGTCCTCGGTGTATGAATTTGTAAGAGACGATATAAGGACGTCACAGCGCTTTGATAAGCGTGATGATTGAAAATTCAGTCCTTCAACCACAGTTGTGGCTGAAGAAGTGTGTAAATTGAGTTTAGCACATAGACTTTCAGTTATAAAGCTAGATGTGCTGCCATTGTCTAACAAGCCACGCACTGTATGGTTTTTTCCAGTGCCATCTGTCACCTGAATTAAGGCTGTGGATAACAGTATATAATTGTTGTGAATGGCTGATAAGGCAATGTCTTGAGGAGGACTAATTGGTTGTCCTTGAGTTTCAGGGTGCAGCGCAGCATGAACTAATGTAACATCGTTACTAGAGCTGGGACCTTCAGGTGCTATCTGTGTTACCTGAGAGGTCGAAGCGTGTTCATGCAACAGGCTATTGCGCGACTTGTTGCAGACGCAACATGGACCTAACTTGCAAACATTGACGAAATGTCCCTATCGTAAACAGTTTAAACATAATTGCGCCTTTGCTTAAGCGCCTTTGCTTTTTCAACCCTAATTTGTAAAGGAAGTGATTTGAACCTTTGACAATTATGAATTGCGTGATTATTTTTGCATAACGGACAATTTCGAGGGGGAGGAGTTTGCTATGAAGGATTTTTGACGGATATGGGTGGTGTCACTAGACCTACGTTTTTTATGAGCTTCCTCCATGGTTTCTAATTAAAAGTTAAATTAAAGTAATTCTTTTAAATTGTTACAACGAATTTCCCATTCACGATTCGTGTTTAAGTCCAGTTTATCAGAAACAATGTGGATAACTAGTATGTCCCAGTGCTCAGTGGGAAGTTCAAGTGTTTTTAGTGCCCTGAGGTTCCTATTCACCGTGTCTATGACGCCACGTAAAGACTTTGATGATTCCTTAGTTATAGATTCTAAATTAAAGAGTGCCTGATTATGGTTATCTACGAGCAGTCTTTTGTTATTATAGCACTCACAAAGCAAATCTCAGGCTATGTCATAGTTGTCACCCGAGAAATCAAGAAATCTGATAATTAACGCAGCACTATCTTTCAAAGCAGTACGCAAATAATGAAATTTATTAATTTTAGGTATCGAATTATCTGTGTGTATGAGACTACAGAAAGTATCGTGGAATTCTTGCCAGTCCTGATAATAACCCGAAAAGCTAGGTAAATGTATAGTAGGTAATTTTAATTTTGGCCTACCATCAAGTGCTTTACAATAAGAACCTGAATCCGAATGTTCGCCGCGCGCAGAGGTGCCCGGCGGCTCCACCAGCAAGCGAGTGCTTGCGATCGCGCTGAAGTACTGAGTCTCAAAGGACTCACGCTCCGCAAACCGCTCCTCTGGAATATCACATGTATTGTCTATGTCACATTGGATGCTATCGAAATCACCATAAAGTTCTTCCATTTTTGATAAACGGAGATTTAATTCCTTTAATTGAAGTGTACTTAATTGTTTGCAACTTTCAACAGTTAATAAATAGCTTTTAAATTGAGTAAGCTTAGTTTTATATGATGCGCGCTTTTTAATTAGGCCTTTGATATCCATGGTGAAATAAGCAATGAAAGAATTTAAATACGATTTTAAAGTACAAGATATTCAAGTTTAAAGAAACTTTAGCGAGATGTAATGAGTTGCTAGAAAGCGGCCGGCCGATGCAGCGAACCGGTTTTGCACGAGTGCTCGTCGCATTCCACAAGCAAGTGATCGTCAGAATTTTTGTAGATTATGCACAAATAATTTATTGTTTAGCAAATTTATAAAAACAGTTCGTACACACACCTATGAAATCTGCAACTACTAGGATCTTTGAAAAAATTTTTAATGACCTTTGATTTAAAAAATTGTTAGGGAAATAGAAAAAATAGGGTATTTTTTATATTTATATTTCTAAGGTAAATAGGTAATTAATGAAATAACTGGTTACGTTTATAAATATGGATGAAATAACAAAATAAAGGTATACAGACCATAAACATAATCATCCCTCTTCTAGATGATTCAGAATTTGCTAAAAAAATTCAGCAATTGACTCATAGATGTCTTGGCTGTATGCACACACATAACAAAATCCCGCAATTTTCACAACTAGAGACATCTATCCACGTGCACGAATATGGTCAATGCTCCATGTCGTAAGATGTTCCTGAAGGAAACGGTATACATTTGAAAATAAAACACAACGCTGAAAAACTACATAAACTAAAGTTTAACATTGAGTTGTGGGAGAACATAGTAACTATGATACAAAAAATAACTTCATTCCTTGAAAATAAGTCCGATATTAATAAAATGACTTATTTTACCTACTTACTTCGCTGACTTCGCGACCCGAAATGGAATGTGATCTCCGACACCGTTGTCAAAAAATAATTAACAAGTCGTCGAATATAAATAGTGTTATTATGAATATTATCAACTCAAACTCAAATAATCTTTATTTCACAGGTAAGCAAATTACACTTGAAATTGTGATGTGTAATGAATGAATAATGAAGTTTTACCACCATGATATTATTAATTTATTTTTTGTGAAATTACTCCACTACTTTGTTATAGTTATTAATACAAAGATGCACATACAGAAAAATTCCTTCAATCTGACAGGATTCGAACCTGCGTCTGTGCGATACCAGAGCGAGCGCTCTAAACACTGAGCTACAGGCTACAGTTCGAGTCAGCAGACCTTACGAATTTTTCTATACATTTATTACAGATTTGGTTTTGTCGAATTTATTGCTTGCATTCGCTCGGTATTTTGTTTGAGTTGTTTTGATGTCTTATGATGCACGAATTTATAAACCGCCAATTGTATTTTTCTTTACTTAATGCAATCTTTTACTAGATTCTTTCACTTACACTACACAAAGTGGT